CCAATTATTTTTACTTATGGAAAATTATTCATATGATCACCCTTTTGACACAAAAATTATTTTTAGTAAAAGGTTAAAAATTATTGTATTGTATCTATGAAAGCTTTTCTATTATTCTGAGTGTAGTTGATTAGAAAGCATGTATTTACAGGAAAATCAGAGTGACCCAGTAGTTTCCACTTAAAAAACACTTTCCATAAGAAACATCTTACTACTATATAAAAATAGTTATACTGGAGATGTGAATCAACAACCAAGTAATCTGTTGGCACTTAAAAACCATTAGGTATAAATAGAAATAACAGGTTATTTTTTTCCAGAGTCTGAATATTTAATTTCAGTCCATAGCAACCAAACCCACACTTTCACTGACCTAAAAAAAAATAACACTTAGTCCACCAAGGAGCATCAGTTTACCATAGAAGAGATTACAGAAACAGGAAAGCATAGAGAACTGAAAACCAGCACAATATAAAACTACTGACCTATATCAGTAAGTCAGCAAATGTAAAGCACCCACAAGGTTTTATATGCTCTATAAATTTACAAAGAAAGCTTCCTGCCTTCCAGTGGGGCCACAACAACCAACAGGGGAAAGGGAGGCAAAACCAAAGGGGCTCAAAAAATATTCACGTTCCAAGGGGCAGCTAGGTGGCCCAGTGGATAGAGCACTGGCCCTGGATTCAGGAGGACCTGAGTTCAAATGGGGCCTCAGACACATAACACTTACTAGCTGTGTGACCCTAGGCAAGTCACTTAACCCCAATTGCCTAACCAAAAAAAAAAAAAACTTGGGTGGAACAAAACTCATCATCATCTTTTCCTGTAATGCCAACCTCACTCCTGTTTCCTACACTCTACAGTTACCCCATTTCTGTCAGGTTTCCCAGGCTTAACACCTCATTTGTCTTGGGCAACAGGGAGAGATAGGAGATAAGGGTTCTGTACCTGGAGGCAGTTTCAACACTGCCTGAGACACTAGCTGCGTGACCCTGTGCAATTCACCTACCTTCTCTTTTTAAACTTTTGTTTAATAGGGACGATAATAGCACCTACTTCACAGGGTTGTTGTGAGGGTCAAAGGAGATAATATATGCAAAGTGCTTTGCAAACCTTAAAGTTCTAGATAAATGTTAGCTATTATTATGATTATCTTCATTTTCTCCTTCTGACTTTATGTCCTTTACCTAATATGTCATCAAGTATTGTTTCTTCTTTGAAGTGTCTGTCACTTACTCCTTCCTTTCTACCTCCATTAATGACATCCTGACCTAGGCCTTTATCATTTCATCTATCTGGGATGATTAACTAGCTTCCTAACTGGTGCCCTTAAATAATCAGATGGACCTGTGGTCTAACTGAAGTGATATAAAATGGGGTATAAGGTACTGAAAAAAAAATACTGAGTTCTAAAGCCATCTACAAATATTATTTTAACTGTTAGCATTCACCGTCCAATTTTTGTCCTGTGACCAACAAATTGATACAGTAATGGATGAACCAGACAGCATCCAATTGATGTTCATAATCCCCTCACCAGTACAGATCACAACCCCTCCACAACTTATCAGCCCATATGATTTTGGTTCATGGCTTTCCATAAATCACTCCAGTGTACTGTAAACCCTCCTCCTGATTCTTTTGCTATCTTGAGTACCATTGTAAAATTTGGAATATCTATCTGTTGTCTCACATCCTCAATAATTACTTACTTATCTTCTTTTCCAGTGTACATATTTTAATGATTTTTAGAACTACTTGTACATAAGTCACCATTGATAATATAGTATAGATATCCTTTCACTTATCTGCAACAGCATTGTGTCATTTGGTTTCATTTATGGTAGAAATGTCAATGTAGATACTATTCACCTCCTTCAATAATATGTTGATTTGTTAGTCAGTGGACAAAAAATACATGTTGAGCTGTTCAGTCGTTTTCAGTTGTGTCCAACTCTTCATGACCCCATTTGGGGTTTTCTTAGCAAAGACACTGGATTAGTTTGATGTTTCCTTCTCCAACTCATTTTACAGATAAGGAGACTGAGGCAAACAGGGTTAAGTGACTTGCTTAGGGTCACACAGTTAGTAAGTATCTGAGGCCAGATTTTAACTCAGGAAGATGAATCCCCCTGACTTTAGACCTGGCACTCTATCCACTGCACCATCTAGCTGCCTACACATTGAGTAACCAACAGCAAATTAATATTTATTAGCAGCCTAAGAACTTTGTGTTTCTGGTAACCTTTTGCCCCATTTTCAATCATCCCACCACCATCAATGCATAAGTTAAAGGGATTATATAAGCCTGGGACCTGTTTTGTATTTGGTATCCTTATTACTATTGAAGGCACCACCATCCTTCTAGTCACTCAGGTTCACAATTTTGTTGTCCTCACATATCCAGTCAGATGCCCAATTGTGTCATTTCTGTCTCCACAATATCTCTCACATATGTCCCATTATCTCTGCTTACCAAGCCACCACCCTAGTTTAGGCCTTCATCATCTCACCTGAACTATTATAGTAACCTTCTCTTTGGTCTCCCTACCTCAGGCTGCTGCCTACTCCAATTCATCCTCCACACAGTTGCCAAGGTGATTTTCCTGAAACACAAATCTGAATACATCACCATCTTCTCTTCTTCCCTGCCCCCGTAAGTTCCAATAGCTCTCTATTACCACTAGGTTCACACATAAACTTCTCTGTTTGGCTTTAAATCTCTTCATAATCTGACTCCTTCCTTCCTTTCCAGTCTTCTTACATGTGATTCCCCTCCCTTCACACTGCAATCCATTCATACTGGCATCCTTGCCCTTTTGCACACATGCTGCTTCATCTCCCATCTCCATGTCTTTGCCCTGGTTGGTACCCCAGATTCGAATTCACTCCATTCTCACTGTACTTCTCAGAATCTCTGCTTTCCTTCAAGATGCAGCTCCAGTGCCACCTTCTGCATGAAGCCTTTCCTGATCCAACCAGCTGTTAGGTATGTCCCACGTCACCTCCCAAAAAAGCCACCTTGTATTCATTTTGTATATATTATTTATATGCTTAAAACTGTGTATCTCCTCCATTAGAATATAAACTCCTTGAGGACAGGAACTGTTTTACTTCTGTCTTTTTGTATCCCCGGCCCTTAGCACAGTTCCTGACACAGTTCCTGGGCTTAATGAACACTTGATTGATTGATTTTGATCCTTTTTGAGGATCTTATGAAGATGAGGTCTCTTGAAATTTGAGCCTGCAGCCAGTAGTCAGAATCTATCATGGGCCTCATATTAGAAGCCTTCCAAGCTTTGTGGAATTGTGTTGTTCTCCACCCCAGGGCACCTCCATGTCACACTGAGGCCCCAGAATGGGACTTTTGTAGAAGCTACCTTGCACTTGATGACTAAATTCATCTTCCTTAAATATTGTTTCCTTCCCCTAGTTTCCCCCCAGATGCCTTTTTGTGGTAGGCAAATGACCTGTTTTAATGCTTCTAATACTTTGTAATCCTTCAAAGCTGGAATGGCTTCAAGGATAGGCCTGGTGACAGACTCAACATCTGCCATCTGAAGAACCTGAAAGGCCTATTGCCAGATTATTGGCCACCAGTTGATGAATAGTTTTGACCACAGAACCAATACAGTTTATGAACATTCATCTACTAAGGTTTGGAAGGGGTTGTTGTGTGCATCTGTGGAGATAGCATGCACTCCAGTGAAGTATTCAAGTAAAATGCTGCTTTCATGTAGGCAATCGCTGAAAAATTTTAAATGATTTCTTATTGTTACATTAAGTCCAGACTCCTCTGCTTGGCTTTCAGTATTCTCCACTATGATTCCAGCTTAATTTTTCAGTTTTATTTTCCTGTACTTTGAAACATGAACCCTACATCCTAACCAGACCAGTCTTATTAGGATTAGTCCTGCCTCATGCTTTTTCATGAAAGAACCACCCTTTTCTTTGGAATCTGTTTTTCTCTACTTATCCAGGTCTTACTCATCCATCATGGCCAAGCTCAAGTCCAGCCTTCCTCTCACTTTTCAGAACTCCTATAGCTCTAGAGTCTGCACTGTGCAGCCGAGCATGACAGTACCATTTGATATTTAATTACACATCATCTTTTATTGTTCTTTTATTATTTCATGTGCTGCCCAGTTAGGCTATAACCTTTATAAGGACAGTGCTATAGAAGTACTGCATTTTAGTGGCTTTCTAATCCAAATAGCTCATTAAATTACTCAAGTCCCATCCCCATAAGATCTTCACCAACCCAATCTTTAGTGCTACACAGAAAAGGAATAGAAACTTAATCCTTAATACTTTTTTAAAAAGTATTCTGAATTTAAACAGTAAAAAAAAGAGCATTTCGATATGCATAGCAGAACACATTATATGAAACCATGTCTTTATTTCATACCGTTTCCTTCTTTAAAAAATATGTAATAAATTCTACTCGTTACTTTCAGAACTACCCTGCTTACCCATTTTGCTTACCCATTCTTTCTTCTGAACTTCCATTTCTTCTCATCTGTACGTTTTAAAAGTGTTTCAGTAACCTGCACCCTTTTTTTATCATTAGTATTGCTAATCTCCCTGTCCTCCTGAACATAAATTTAAGAGGGAAAAAAGCCTTTTAACAAATACGCATAGTCAAGCAAAACAAAGCTACATGGAAGCCCTTCTGAAAAATGTTCCTTTCTTTCAGCATTTCCAGAGTTTGCCCCTCTGTCAGGACGTGCGTAACCCTCATTATCAGAGGTCCTCTAGAGACATGGTTGGTCATTGCCTGACCAGAGTTTTTAAGTTTTTTCTTTTCTGTTATGTTGTATAAATTGTTCTCCTTGTTCTACTTACTTGCATCAATTCATATTTTTCAGGATTCTCTGAAATCATCTCCATTATTTATAGAAGCATTTTTAAACAAAAACAGTGAGCATGTATCTTCTAAGTTTCCTTGGAAATATCTTGGGCTATGTGCTAGTTCACACAAATATGCTTTTCCTTTTCAGGGGGCTGGAGATAGTTTTGTGGGAGCACTGGCCTTCTACCTGGCTTATTATCCTAACCTGCCTATGGAAGAAATGATCAAGAGAGCCAGCTTCATTGCATCAGTCAGCGTCCAATCCTCAGGAACCCAGATGTCTTTCCCTTACAGAAAGGACCTGCCACTTCATCTGTTTTGATTAAGCTTCCAAGGCTCATGTGATTGCAATTAGTGTGTACAAGGCAGAGAATTCAACTACTTTGTACACTATAACAACATGCTGTCCTTTACATACAAAGGATGTTCACCCACCATCCACAGGGCACCTGCTTTCTGTTGTTTATACAGTAATGATAACTGACTCCTCTTATACACATTTGCAAAGCAGCTGGCCAGGATTAGGGGTGCACCCTAAGGCTAGGCTGTGATTTTGCAGGGATCTGCAATTTCATCACTATTTGAAAAACAATTCAAAGACACATCCTAATGATAGTGGGTCAGTAGCATCAAACAAATCCTATACTGCCTTGCACATAGCCAGCACTCAGTAAATGTTCAGTGAATGAATGGAATGAATGAACAAATAAGTGAACAATTGTGTGAGTTTCCTAAGTCTAAAAACAGTGGGTCCCCATGCATATACATTCCATAGTGGCTTAGCAGGAGACAGTGAATGAACAAGCTATTTGTTTGGCCCACAGCTTACCTTGAAATAGCCACCTCCTCTTCCGAAGCTTCAGCACTATTTGAACCAGTGGGGGAGATAAGAATCTAGGATGGGACTCCAGGAAATGACCACTCCACAGGAAATGACTCTATTCTGAAGCTGAAGTGCAGATTTTAATTATCCCACAGACTAGCCTGTAGCCATGGAAGGACTAGTATTTCTGTAACGGCATTAACCTCCTAGGGGTTTACAACCACGGTGTCATTTCTTCTCTCACCATTACTAGTAGTGAGATTCTGAGTCTGAGTTGGAAATCAAAATAGTTCTGAGAGAGGGAGCTGTTCCCTTTTGGTTCCCCACTGGAGATTTCCTTATAGCCAGCCATTCAGGAAAAGTGAAATTTGTAAGAAATGAGTGGGAGAATGGCAGGTGCTTCTTTGAAAAGGGCAGGATTCCTCAACCAGGAGATAAGAAGCTACAGATAGATAGGACCCCAAGCCTCATCTGACACATACTCAACAGGAAACAGGGTTCCAGAGTATTAAGAGTTGACTTACTAATTTGGTGATTTACTAATCTGCTTCATTTTACATAGGCAAAGAGAATTGTCCAGAGTCACAGAGACGTAGGTGACAGTCAATCTTGAAGCCACAGCTTCTGTCTTTTAAGCCCAGTGCTTTCATTATACTGTGATGGCATCTAGTTCTAGTGCCGCCAGCTATCCAGCTGTGTGACCACAGGCAACTTTCCTATTGTCTTCATCTAGATGAAGAATTTGGACTAAATATGCAAGGTTTCTTTCAGTTGTAAAATTCTACAATGCTAAGTTACTTGCTGCAACCATGTGAAGACTTCCTCCTCCGACGATGTAATTACAAAGCTTCTGCAAAATAAAAAATAGCTCTTCCTTACAAGGTTGAGATTCTCGAAGGTACAAGTATGAGTAACGCTACCTATCTACACTAAAAAATAATAGACTTTAGGTGATCTGGGCTTAAGAAGATGGACTATGCAATTTTTTTCTAATTGCATAAGCACAAAGTAGGTTCTGTGAGGTTTCTTGATATTCTAAATTCTCCATGTAGGGGTTCCCTCCTTTGCCTTTCCATTTCTGCCTCTACCTAGGCACTTGTTGCATGATCTTTCTGGAAGGTTTATTCTTGCTTTTGTCTGGGGTAAGAAGGAGGGCTAGAAACCCTTGCACCAGAAGTTCTGAGGAAAATTTTCATTTCTTGTTATTATATGAAACAATGGTCATTTTAAAAAAACCAACCATACTATTAAAAAAAATCACTGAGACAATAGTACTAGCTATTTTAATTTTTTTATTGAAGGCTGTAAAAATAACCAGAAAGATAAATAAATGTTGATGCAATGATCTATGTCCTAAAGCAAAGAATTTTCTTTCGATGCATTGTTTTCCTTCACAATGGCATTCAAATCACAGGAGGTGGTGATTCCAAGCCATTTCCTTTTCTTTGGGTGCACACTGCAGGATTTCTGAATCAGTGTTTCCCCCCCCAAGAGTCTTCCTCATTTATAAATCAAATTCATTTTCAATCCATTGTTTAAATGGAGCGCACTTTTTTCTTCTCCACAAAAAGGACCCGTTTGTTCACTGCAAAGAAGCAGATTTTAATGGAAAACTTAAAATCTGAAGAACTTACAGATTTGATTACACTTGTCATCCAAAAACACTTATTTGAAATGAGCTTTCTCCATGTTCTACCTTTATTCTCCAATATATTCTTTCTCTTCTTACTTTTTTAGAAAGATCCTTTTTTTAGAAAGATGCTTTTTACTTTTTTAGAAAGATCCATTCAACATTAACATGCAGTTTAGTTAGTTGAGCTGGCAGCCAATGAAAGGTCAAGGAACACTGGCCAAAAGACCAGAGGGCAAATTCACAGCCACCAGCTGATCACTGAAGTCCTGGAGAGCTGGCCAGCATGAGCCACCCTGGTGCACCAAATGAAAGAAAATTAGAGAGAAAACTGAAAATAAGCCTTAGGTTTTGGCTAATCACTGAATCACTCTTATGGGAGGTGAGCAAGGTTGGGCCTACTTAGGAGTTAGTGTGTGATGGTTCACCAGAAAAGACACCTGGAGCCATCAGCAGACAAGACAAACACAAGCCTCCTTGAGGAAAAGGGTTTTTGTTTTCCTCTAGGCATTCTTATGAGCATATGACTTAAAGTAACACTGGACTAAATGACATTTAAATGAATGACAGGCATGAAAAGTTTGATTTCCTACATCTCATACCAAAATTAAATCACCACCTCCATCCCCTCAAATCTTCACCCCTACTCCCTTATCAGAATCTTCTACATTCAGAAAAGCAGACAGGCAGAAGGGCATGGGTATGAAAGGATTTAGATGACCAATCTATACCCTACAGACAAACTTCAAAGATGTTTTGTGTACTTCCAGAAATTATAATAAGTCCTGGAAAAGCCTACACCTTCCATGAAGCAACTTCTCTCCATTTTTACCAATTGGGTCGTAATGCAGAAGGACCAGTTTCTCTCGTAACCGGTTTCTCTTGGTGTTGAAGGTGTAACCTGTCCCTGCTTGGCTCACCATTTTCACAAGGAGGGTCCTAAAATTACAGAGAAATTTATCATCAAATGAGGAAAAGAACTACAAAGTCATCTGAGCAATGGCATATATTGACAGCAAACAGTACAATATTAAAGGAATTGGACTATTAGGCATTATTTTATTTGTACCCTTTAGGTGGAAGGTTTTTAGTTCTAAGAAGTCCTGCATTTCAGGAGATGTACAGGGGAGCCAAGTTTCTTATTTCCTGAGCTCTATAATATGTATGATAATATGTATGGTAACCTAATAATTCCATCTCGGGGATTAACAAAGTAATCTCAGCAGAACCTGTAAGCTAATTCAGGAAACTATAAGGGTATCAGTCTTAAGAAAAGATATCCTTGCCACCACTTAAGGCCAGGCTAGATATCAGGATACAAAGGCTATGAAATAGGAATTCCTCAAAATAATTTGGTCTTAACCTTTGAATCACTACAGTCAATGGCCAACACATAAGCCGTAGTTAGTTATGAACCATTACAAGTACATGCACCCATCTGCTCTTTGGTGTTTACGTCAGGCAAGATTTTAATAGCTACTTCATATTTGCTCTAAGGTGTGTTTATATAATCCTTAACAAAAGACTGCCAAGATTTGTGAAGTATACCACTAATTTGGCCCTTAACTGGTCATATTGTTATTTTTTCACATGTGACTTGACCCCTGGATTTTATGACTCTCAAAGGCAAGGACTCTTATGTAACTTTGTATTCCTAACAGTACCTTGAGAGTAATGGTTTGAAAAACAAGTGGCTGAAGTATGCAATAATAACTAACTTTTTTTTGCCTTTCTTTGTATCCCCAGTGCTAACATAGTAGGTGCTTAATAAATCCTTGTTGACCTGGCCATCAATTATTATCACATCATGCTAGGTGGATACATATTTATATAAGTCATGGCCCCTCAAAAAGCTTATGACAGAGGCAATGACAAATATCCCACTAACTAATACAAAATAAAACTGATCAATTCCATTAAGAGAGACAATAGATGAGATCAGCAGTACCCAGAAAAGCATAGAGGACGCCATTCTGCTGTAAAATCACAAAAAAAAACCCACTAAATTCTTAAATTTGAAATTTTATATAAGCAAATAGCTTATTTCCATAATACCTCTTTTTTTCCACTTTTATAGATCACCCTGTATCATAGCTTGTTGTCTTCTTTCCTCTATCAAACTCAGCTGTGAGGTGAGGGGATGTCTTCTTTGTTAATTGTCCCCACAGCACATATACTAAAGTGTTACAAAATAGCAAAACTTATTCATTTACTTTGACAAAGGAAACCTAGTTTTTACTTGTTTTACTTTTTTAACAAACTACAAGCAAATGTCCTTCTAAAGGTCAGACTTTTTTCAATAGAGGAGACCTTAACTCTAGTCATCTGCTATGAGGCCTTTTTTGAAATGATGTAACAGCCCAATAGTGGGCTAATATTATTTGCAATTTACAAACTACAATTTGCAGACTTTGATATTTTTGAAATGATAATCCAGTCCAGAAAATGAAACTGATATGACTTGAAACAGGCCCTGTGGCCTCATCAGTGTTTTATCTGTAACCACTAGCATCCCTGAACAAACCTCAGCATACCCCCTATTTTGAGGAATGACGGTAGGGCCCTTAATGTGAGGCAAAAGGAGAAAAAAGGTAATGATTTAAGGTAGAAGATGTTGAGTTCAAGTTAGGTAGAACACACACACACACACACACTCTCCCATCCCCTCCATGAGATGTCCACTGAAGAACTGGACAGACAGGACAAGGGTTTGGTTTGTTTTTTTAAATTATCAAATCTCTAACACAAGAAAAAGTTTTAATTAATAGATGGATTTACAATGGCTCACCTACTTATTCTAAACTACGTAGGAAGCTAATAAACTTTAAAAGAAGGGAAAGCTAATACTCTTAGGCATCTACCTCAAGGTGGTAAGAAAAAGGGAAAGGTCCCATATACAAGAAAATATCCATATCCACACTTTCTATGGTAGCAAAGAAATGGAAACACACTAGATGCTTATCAATTAAGGAATGACTAAACAAATTGTGGTATATAAATATAATGAAATATTGGATTTGGAATCTGAAAAACCTGACAAATTCTACCTCAGATACTTGCTAGCTGTGTGACCCCAGAGCAAGTGACTTTGCCTCTCTTTGCCTCAGTATCCTCATCTGTTAAATAAGGTTTCTGAACCCAATGATTTCTAATGCCCTTTGCAGTTCTTGATCTATGCTCCCATAAAAACTACATGAAGAATTCAGAGAAGCGTGTAAAAACATAAACTGATGCAGAGTGAATGAAGTAAGAAAATCCAGGAAAACAGTTTACATAATGGCTATAACAATGTAAATAGAAAGAACCAAAAAAAAAAGAAACAATACTATGTAATTATTATAATGACCAAATTAGGCCCCAAAGAGTTATGAAAATGCACCTTCCCTCCCTGTTTGCAAAGGTGGGGGGCCATGGGTATAGAAATATTACTTATAATGTCAGACAAAATTAATGTATATTTTTCTCAAAACTTTTTTTACCTCTTTTTTTAATCTTGTTACTAAGTTTGACTTACTGGATACCAGAAGGGAAAGAGACATATTGGGAAATGAAGATGATACAAAATGATCAATAAAATAAGGTTTCTTTAACATTATAAAACAAAGGAAACTTTTACTTACTTTGACTTGCTCTTGGCAACTTTTGGTAGCAAAGCAAGGGTGGAAAGAAGAGGAAAAAAAACACTAATTACCTTTGTTGTTAAGCCAATTACCCACAACTTTCCATTACAATTTTACAAGACCCAACTACTATTACCCACGAAATTAACACATACGGGAAGTAAGCCGTTATCAATATTTATCTTGTTATCAGGGAAAACAGTGAAGACACCAAGTTCCCCTCAATACAGTTAAGACTTTTGTAGAAGGACTGCAAATTTCAAATCCATTAATAATAATTAACAGCCCATCCAGGCAAGACACGAAACTTGGGTTTGGAATGTTTCCTACGATTTTGTTTTCGTCGATCCGTCCGGCCTTTCAAAACTGAAAAGACTTTGGACTTGATTTTCTCCAACAGTGACTACCGCGTTCACTCCAAGACCAGGTGATACGCCAGGTCCAGGCCACATCCCTAAGCTCAGACCACTTACATACATTATCAAGTTTTACAAATTTGTCTTGACTTTTCCCATTTTGGGGTGGGAGGGGATAATTAACAACTTCGACCCCCCGAAGCACCAAAGTTGAAAACTTCTACACTTTAAAGGACAATCACAGTAGTTTAGGGGAGAACCCTGGGTAGATGGGTAGAGAGCGCAGACGTGCCGCGCGGAGCCTCCTGGGCATTGTAGTGCCGAGAGCTTGCTAATCAAAGGCCTGCCGAGCGACCACTAGTTCCGGCATTCCGCCAAACTGCTGCCATCCCTGCGCTATCACTAGTGGCCAGCCGCTCCCTCAGCAGTCGCAGCCGCTGCCCTTCGGCCCCACTTACGGCAAACAGCGGAGAGTAGCATGGCGACAGAGACTAGTGCAGCCTCCGCAACCCGCTAAAAGGCGAGCCGCACGGAACCCTTCCGGCCACCTTGCAACCAACAGCTTCCGGGGCACTGCTCTGCTACCGCAAACCACTTCCGGGGCGCTGCTGGAGCCACGCCCCCTCCTGGTTTATTTCCATTGCAGGTCACTTTCTAACCCCTCTGCCTGAAAGGTTGTCTAACATTCTTGACCTGTGGTCTTGCCATTCCCCACTGAGCATAATTTCCCATCCAGACTGAGTGATGTACTTCAACTTTTTGGAAAGTTTTATAGACATTTTTCTATGTATAGAGTTTCCAGTGAACAGGGCAAACTTTGGCAGAATTGACAGGCCCCATCAATTCAACCCAACTACATTTTATTGAGCCTTTGCTATGTGCAAGACAGTGTCTTTTATCTGAGACCAAGTTTTTTTTAATTCCCTAATGGCTGTTTTGTTCATTTAGATTTTTTTTACAAATAGTCATTACATTTAAGTTCATTCAGTTTTGTTGGCATGTAATTACTTATCATAAATAACAGTTCTGACAATGTCCTTTAATCCTAATAGTCATTTTTAATTTTCCCTTCTCATTTGTGATTTTGATAATTTGTGCACTGTTCCTGTCTCTGTCTCTCTCTCCCTCTCTCCTTTTCCCTCCCCTCCACCCCTCAATTATCAATTTTATTGACCTTTGCCTGAAACCTGATCTTGGTTTATGATCTTGTGTTTATCTCTAATTTGATTTTCAGAATGCCTGCTTTTGTACTTCACTTGAGTATTATTAATTTGTCCCTTTTCCAGGTTGTTAAAATTGCATGCTCAAGTGATTAGGCTTCCCTTTCTTTGTTAATATAAGTGATTAAAGATAAATTTTCCTCTAAGGATTGATTTAGCTGCCTGCCATGAAATTCAATTATGTTGCCTCATTGTTATTTTCTTGAATGTAATGACTTATTGTTTCTATGACCCACTCATTATTTAGTCTCAATTTAAGGCTATCTTTTGTTCATTCTTCCCTCCGTGATCACAGTTTTTATGAAGTTGTGGTCAATAAAGGTTATGTTCAATGTTTCTGCCTTTCTGCATTGATTTGCACTCTTTATGTCCTAATGTGATCAGTTTTTGCAGAGGTTTCATGCAATGCTGAAAAACTTTACATTCATCCACATTAAATTTCAGTTTCTTAGCTCTGGTCCCATGTTCTAGCCCACTGATACCTTTCTGAATCCTGACTGTCCTACAACATTTTAGCTATCCTTCTTACCTTGATATCATCTGCAAATTTGACAAGAATGCCACCGATGACTTTATTCATGCCATGAAAAAATGTTCAACAGCACAAGGCCAGAGATAACTGGAGTACTCCATGAAAGACCTTCCAATTTAATGTCTAAGCATTTTTGGGCCCAACCATTAGCCATTTCTGAATCAATCTGATGGGGTGCTTGGGTGCTTGTGTTTGGGTGCTTATGCTTGGACCCCAACTTCTTCCTAGCCTCAGAAACACTATCCCTGACAGTTTCTCCCCAGCCCACGGACACTGTGCCTAGCAATTACTCACGAGTGGGCCCCAGCAAGACCCTTATCTGTCTCCCTGCTGCAGTTACAAACAGCACCTGAAGGAATTATTAGCTTGAACTGGCTTTGCACTGGGTCATAAAGACATTCTTACCCATTGGACTATCTATACTACTGCCCTACCTCATTATCTACATCCTGGGCTCCTCATTAACTGTATTCTAGACTTAAGACATATGTATATTCCCTACATCTATCTTGTCAAACAAGACATTGATTGGTGGCAGACTGGACAACTCTCAGGTGTCCCTGACCACTAGTTAATTTAGTGACGCAGCGGGCCTAAAACCACACCTCCATGTGGCCCCCCTTGTGGGCTTTTCCCAGTGAACTCTGGATAAAATGCCTGCACAGTAGGTACAAGAAGAGCATGTTCTTCTAACAACTGACCACACTCCTTAACCATTCCTTAATCCCACCCTGAATCACCTTGTTAGCATATTTGGCACATGTTTTATTGTATTTTATCCTACATAAACTTTAACTGTACCATTCTAAGATTGTAGGATCCTTAAGAATCCTTGCCTGCTGAAAAGCGTAACAATAAACTTTTTGCTACCTTGACTTAAAGAGTGCTTGAGTCTGTGAATTCATTCCAGACATCCCCATCATGTACTTCAGTCTTTGAGGGGTCACAACCTCTCAACCTCTCATACCGCAACAAATCCATCCATCTACTGTGGTCAAGTTCACATCACTCTATCTTGTATATAAAAATAGCATGATGGAATTTGTCAGCTGCTTTGCTAAACTATAGGCACACTATTTCTACCACATTTGTCTGATCTATCAGTATAATAAGCCTGTCAGAAAAGGAAATATCTGGCATGACCCTGCTAGATCTTTCCGATCACCACTTCCTTCTCTATTTTTTCCTTTTGCATATGTATATTTAACACTACTTATATCTATTGTAAATAGATTTTTTAAAAAATTTAACATGATTAAATATACCTGTCTTTGCCCACTTGCAAACTTTGTTCTGCTCTCTTCTGTGTATTTTAAGTGTTTCAGTAATGCTTTCTTTTCTTCCTTTGGTATCGTGATCCTTCCTTTAACTCTTTACACACATACACACACCCCAAAACAAATAAAAGCCCTCCCTTGTAATAAACAACTATAGTGAACCAAATCAAATCCACACATTGACCATGTCTGAAAATGCATGTCTTTCTGCTCCTCTCATCCATCAACTCTCTACCAAAGGATGAGAAGCATAATTCTTTCGCAGTCATGATTGGTCAGTGGATTAATCAGAGTTTTTAGGTCTTTCACAGTTGTTTTCCTTTACAATGTCATAGTCATTATATAAATTCTTTTCCTGGTTGTGCTCACTTCACCCAATATTAGTTCACACAAGTCTTTGCTGATTTCTCCAAATCCACGCCCTTTGTCATACAGCACTGTAATATCCATTATATTTGTAGAGCATAATTTGTTTGATTTCCCGATTGATAGATACTTACCACTGCTTCCTTTTCTAAATATTCACTAACAATACATTTAATAATACACATTCTAGAATTTGGCGGGGAATTGAAGTCAAGGCCAATGACCTACAATTTGCAAACTTTCTTTCCTTCATGAAAACTGGGACATTTGCTCTTCTTCAGTCTTGCAGGACCTCTCCTACCCTCCACTACCTTTCAAAACTCATTAAGGTTAGGTCAGTAGTCATATATTCTGATTCAATAATACTTGGATTGATTCCACAGTTTTGTTGTAAGGAAAGCACTTTGTATAGCACTGTAGAAATGAGAATTATTATTGACCATTCCTCAGTTCTCTGGCCAAGGTCATCAGGAAACCTTCATTTTTCCTTAATTGAAACAATGCAGGGTTGGAGTAAAAAAGATTTACTAAGGAATTGAGGAAATGAGTAACATAAAACAAAGTAGCCATGATGAATAATAAATATGAAAGATGCTAAGAAATCCAGGAAGAAAAAGTGATAATGATGGAAAAAAAGCACTCAAAAGAACAAAAGAATGTAAGTTCCTTGACATCAGGGACATTTTCTTTTTTTTTTTTACTACCTAACCCAGTTCCTTGCACTTAATACGTGATAAGTGATTGAATGAGTAAAAACATGGTTACAACTACATGAAGGAAGATAACATAGAACAGCCCCCAAACTAATAGTAAATACAATGGACAACATTGGTACTAACTTTTTAAAAATAGATTTTATTGATATATTTGTTTTTATAGTAACTACATTTCCCCCAACCAAGAGAGCCATTCTTTCCAACAAAGATTTTAAAAGAGGAAGAGGAAAAGAATCAGTACAACCAATCAACACAACAAAAACATCTGATATTATATGCAATGTTCCATGCTCTTGAGCATCCCCCTCTGCAAAGCAGGATAAGAAATATCTTTTCTTGTCTCTTTTCTCTGGGGCCAACCTTGGCCACTATAATTTTGCTACATTCAATTTTTTTGTTTTGTTATTGTTCTTTCTCATTTATGTTGTGTGTGTGTGTGTGTGTGTGTGTATTTATTTCCCCTGACTTTGCTAACTTTACTTGGTATCAATTCATATAAGTTTTACTATGGTTCTCTAAATTTATCATGTTCATCTTTCTTACAATATAGTAATGTTCTATTACATTCACATACCACAATTTCTTTAGACATTCCTCAATCAATAAGTAGTGTTACCTTCTTAAAGTTAATTGGAATGGTCTTTGATTCTTTTAACCACAGGGTAGGGGTATATACAATCATTTAAAACCATTCTTTATGTTGTGCTTTGCTGAAGTGTTTTCCAGATTTGAGGTTTCTGAGGTTTGTGATTGGTTTAATTTAGGAAAAATAAATATATTTTTCAAATAAACCAAAATAACATATAAAGGGTTAAAATAAAAGTAAGAGAAACTGTCCTTGTCATAACCATATCAAACCTTGTCTTTGAGTCTTACTCTTACCCCTGATCCACCACTATGTCAAGGCCATAGCCTTGCTCCATAGGTATCAATAAGGCTGGATATGGATAGTTTTCTAGTTTGGGGTAAAGTTAATTCCTTTTACCTCCAGCTAGTTTGTCAGACTAGCCTTAATAATTTAAAGCCCTACTACCATGCCTTAACATAGTTTCCTTGTCAGCACATAGAACAAGTTGCATCTGACATCATTACTGGTGCCTTCTGTGTCCAGTAAATTCCAGAGGCGAGGACCTTCCTTTGATCCCATTTCAAGTCCAGGTAAGATTCACCAATCACCCAGATTGAATTAAGATGTCATGTTGGTTCAGGTCCAGATTCAGCTATTGGCTCCACCTTTTCACTGGGCTCATAATGCTGAATCATTTCCAGGTTTGTTCCCACCCTTCCCCGCTGGGGAGTGGCTCCTTCCTGGAATCCCATGATAAGAGTTTTACACAGTTCAACATTTTACATCTACTGGGATAGCATAGACAATCCCCATCCACAACAAGAAAAAGTGATTTTTCTCCATAGACCACCCTCATAGACTACAAAGTTAGTGATAGACATTCCCAGAGTTCAGATTGCTAGTAAGTAGCTCTAGGAGAGAATTTCCACACACAGACATGAAAGGACACATACACTCAAACCTGCCACAATCAATCAATCAGTAAACATTTACTAAGTTACTAACATGGTGCTATGCACTGTACTATGTTCTGGATTGCAAGTTAAAAAAAAAACAAACCACAAACCTAAAATGAAAAAAAATATTTTTTTCCTTCTGCCTTTCACACCTATATCCCATAATGTTCTCCCCTCACCTTTTAGTAAATTAATATGAATCAGTCAACAAGCATTACGTGCCTAAAGGCAAAGATTTTACTACTAATAGCAATAACACAGTTCTTTAAAGTTTTCACAACTCTTTCTTCACAGCCTCCCTATAAACAGGTAGTGTAAACATTCTTATCCCCATTTCACAGGTGAAGAAGCTAAGCCTCATGGGGGTTAACAGCTTGCTGGAGAGTATGGTAATCCCTGGCACATTCAGTGTTCCCTCACCCTGACCTTTGTGACCTTTCACAATCTCCACGTGCTCTATACATCCATCCCTATCTCCTGTAATTTCTTAACATGAGCCTTCTGCCCGACAGGCTTTCTCTCTGTCTCTTCATTGAGTGTAGTGTAGTAGAAGGAAAACTGAATTTGGGTTTGAAGACCAGGGTGCAAATCTTGACACTGATTCTTAATCCCTCAAAAGCCTTATGTAAATCGCTTGACCATTTTGAGCCTCATTTTCCTCATCTGTAAAATGACTCCTTAGGTTCCTCTCAGTTCTGAAATTCCTATGAACCCCCCCCCACACACACACACCTGCAACACACACATCTCCCAAATTTAACAACATTCATTCATCAAGTAGTAATTGGATACCTACTATGAGCTAGCCATATACCCCATGCCTTTGACTGGGCTATTCTCCTTATCTAAAATACTTAATGAGTTGAGTTGAATTCAATTGTATTTTTTTAGTCCCAACTATCCTCTCAGGTCCATGTACCTTTCCTCCATGAAGCTTTCCCCAACTGCTGAAGTAGCTTCAGGGCTAAATCTTCGTTACCCTGACCTTGGACCTCCTAAAACAACTGTCAGTTATTCGTAATCTTTTTATACTGCTATTGAACTCATTCTTATATGGATGTTCTGCCTCCTAACTACATTATCAGTTCTTGAGGGGAAGGTCCAGAGCCTATTTAGGACAAGCCCACATACAAACAAAAATCCTCTCTACATCATACCCAGCAAGAAAGAGGTCATACAACCTTTCCCTGAAAACATCTAGTAAGGAGGAGCCTGCTGCTTCCCATTCCATGTTGGGACAGTTCTAGTGGAAAGGGAGCTTTTCCCTAACATCAAGTCTCAATTTTCCTCATTAAAACTTCCATATAATTATACTCTATATACCACTATTCCTAGTTCTGTGCCCTCTATGGTCAAGCAGAGTAAGTCAATCCCTCTTCAATGCGTAATGAGGAAGGATGGGGGCTGGGGCGGGGTTGGGGGTGTGTGTGTGTGAAGGGGGTTAAAGAAGGAATAGATCAGTCATTTTGATGAGAATTCAGTGCTGGCTCAGTACCTTCTGAGCCACTCATTCCTCTAGCTCCCTAGTCAACCAGAAGGCTCCTAATCACCACACTAATCACTCATGGCCTCTGAATGCGGACAGACTGAAAGCAGGCCAGGAAACATACACTCTCTGTATAACCCAACAGGAAAGACACCACTAAGCACACTCTAAGGACTGGGCCCTCATTGGCCAGTCCCCGCATCATACAAGCATCAGCCCTTCAAGTGCTTGCAGACAGCTATCATACCCCCCTAAAGATTCTCCTAAAGATAAACATCTCCTTTTCCTTCAACCCATCCTCCTGTGGCACCATTTTTGTTATCTTCCCTGGTCACTCTTTACCTTTTCAGTCCTTCCTAAAATGTGTTACCCTGACCTGAACACAACACCTACTCTAGATGTGGTCTGAAGACAGAATGTGCTAATAGTCCTAGGCACTGTGCGTCCCTCTGTAGCCAAACAGTAGTTTTGGGGGCTCCCATATCATAGCTGATGCAATTCTATGCAAGAAGAAAAAAAAGACTCCTAAAGATGTCAGAGTTAGAAAGGACCTTAGAGATCATCTAATCCAACATCTAATCCTTTTTTCAGATGGAAAACTTGGGCCCAGAAAAGGGAAGTCATCTGGGTCCCCTAGGTGTTTCAGGCAACTCTGGCACAAGGATCACACATATATTGTGCTTCAGTGCAGCTCAATCAATTCAACAAAATGTTGAATTGTCATTGTCATTCGATAATCCTATACTTTAGGATATAGAGAATTTTTCCTTTATCGAACTTCAATCATTTTCTACACCTGGAGCCAGCTTCTCATCTGTTCGTCCAAAAGCTCTCCTGAAATAGTTTCTGCCAAATCACACCCTATATCTGGAACATATTTCTCTTCCGAACATTCCTGTCGTTGAGCACTGTCTGAAATCTCAATTCTTTCACAAAACTTTCTCTCATTAATCAGAAAAGACTTGGTAAACTTTCCTGGTTCCATCCTGTCTAAACATGCATCCTGTGGGGCAGGGTCTGACTGTGTAGTGCCCAGCATGACCTCCCTAACTGTCTGGGAAGGAGGGTGGGGAAAGCAAAATGGAAGAACGAAAATGTCTTGAGGCATTGTGAAAAAGCAGAAGCATCATAGTCCATCTAGGTCTTAGAAGGCTGTACAATTCCCAGAGGGCAAAATAAAGTAGCAAGGATTTATTTAAAATACTTCTTAATAAAAACATAAGGAAAATAAGAGGTTAAATATTCTTCCTGAAGGATTATGAGAAGTTCAGCGATAACACCCTTCCCACCCACATACTTCACTTACCCTGAGAGCTGTAAAATTGAAAAGATGACAGAAACAACTGGATGGGAAAAATCCAACCAATTAAATATGTGTGGTTTGGCTGAGAGATTACTTGGGTTGAGGAGTGGAAGGTGATCTACAGAAACTAAAGAAAGAGATTGAAAAAGGGTGGAGATATCTGGGAAGAAACAGGAGATTGGAATAGGAGATTTGGACCATTGTCAGGGAAAGAGATTGATTGCTGATTGGGTGGGAGATTAGATTGTATGACCTCAAAGTTCTCTTCTAACTCTTTGATTAATGAAAGTTTCCTCCCCAAAAGCAATTTCCAGATGAGGAACCTGATTTTCTTCTCCTAGTAACAAAAATGACAAAAGACCCTTGCTAGAGACACTAGGACAAGGCAAAATTCCCAAGAGTAGCTGACAATCACTCCACCTCACAAATCAAAATCTGTAAGAGGAAACATAAATTGCCTGACCAAATCCTCATGTTAAGGCTTTAATACATGGGTTCTATGAATTGCAGTTAGGTTTAATTAATGCAAGTGTAGTAGAAGAGAAATTAATCGATGGAAATGAGGGGGGGAAGATATTTATAAGTATAGCTAAGTAAATTACGGAGAATAGGACCATTCTGAGAGTGTGGAGACAAAGGTGGTCACAGCAAGCAGAGTCAGAATGCACAATCTGATGGATTCCTATTCCACCCCCACCTCTGTGAGATGTCACCTTTTACCTCATTCTCACCCTTCCATCCACAACCACTGTCTCTAGGCTGTGGCCACAGATTCTTTTGCTGGCCAGTTTCATGAAGAGGGCCCAATAAGCACCTAAAAAATAAATAAATAAATTTCACACACACACACACACACACACACACACACACACACACACACACACACATATATATATATATATATATATATATATATATCTCAACTGGTGGTGGGGCAGGGAAACATATCAGGAAAGGCCTCATGGAAAAAAAATTGTACTTGAGTTGAGCTTTGAAGGAAACTAGGGCTTTTAAGAGGGAGAGGTGAGGAAGGAGTACATTCCAGACACAGAGGACGGCCTTGGCAAAGGAATGGAGGTGGAGAATGGAATACCTTATGTGAGGAACATTAAGTACGCTGGTTCAATTGTACTCCAGAGTTCATGAAAGGATGTAGTAGATAATAAGGCTATTGGCAAATCACTCAACATCTCCAGGCCTCAGTTTCTTTATTTACAAAGTGAAAGTATTGGACTAGATGTCTTCGGAGGACTCTTCCAACAATAAATCTTTGATCGTATGGACTCAGAAACCAGATAGACCCACAAGGGCAAGGCAAGCAATCAAGAAAGGTCTGAGCAAAAAAAAAAATAAAGGAAATTCAAGCAGACTGAAGGTCAACAATAAAGAGATTTAGCAATAGTTATAGATGGAGGCCCTGAAAGATGGTCAGTGCACAGTATGAGGATGATTAGACATTAGGGGTTGGGCAGAAGTCCAAGAATGCACTAAGTTGGCACCTGAAAAAGGAATAATCCAGCCATAAACGCTAGAATTCAGAGACAGGATTGCAGTCACTAGAAGGGCAGAAGGTGTCAAAGCAGGACTTGGGTCTTGGAAGAACTGAACTCTAGGCAGAGAAACCAAATAGGGACCCAGTTACTGGACTGGGATATAAGGTCACGTTGTTGTTGTTCCGTTATTTCAGTCATGTCCAATATTTCATGACCCTATTTAGGATTTTCTTGGCAAAGATATTGAAGCGGTTTGCTGTTTCCTTCTCCAGATCATTTTACAGATGAGGACAGGGTTAAACTTATGAAGATGAGTCTTCCTGACTCCAAGTCCAGTGCTCTATCCACTGTGTTACCTAGCTGCACCATTTAAGATCCCATACTTAGGATCCTAAAATCATAGATTTAGAGGCAAGGGGATATTATTGCACTGTAAGAGAAACTTGGTAAGACTTGTATGAACTGATGCAGAATAAAGTGAGCAAAACAGAACAATTTATACAACGGCTACAACATTGTCAGGAAAAACATCTTAGAAACACTTGCTGAGCAATACAATAACCAGCTACAATTCTAGAGGACCAATAATGAAACAAATTACAGGCCTCCTGATAGAAGTGATGGATTCAAAGTGCGAAATGAGACATGCATTTTCAGACGCAGTCAATAATGAGGGAATTTGTTTTTCTTAACAATGCATTCTTGTTGCAAGAGTTTTGCTTTCCTTTTTTCTTTAATGGGGTTGGGGGTTAGGGAAGAAAAGTTAGTAATAATTACAAAAAAAAAAAGGAAACAAAAAAGGGTAGTTGAAGCGTTTTTTAAATGTGCAAAAAAGAACAAAAAAGTTAGGGGGGAATACAGACAAGCAGAACAGCCTTGAAAGTTACATGTTGAATTTTTTGTATGCATGAAAAACAAGCCCTCTATAATATGGATTCATGACTTCATGTATGATCCTTTTTTTTTCCTGACTACTACGCATATGGAAATACTGGATTTATTTGTTGTTTGTTAAGTTCAGAATTTTTTAAAATAACATTAACCAATTCTATCTGGCTAATGCTGACATTATACATGCATACATACATGCATACATATATATATGTATATATATTAACTCTTAACACATTCACTGCCATGTCACACTATCCACACGTTCTGCTAAAGATGCCTAGCAATGTCTTAAGGGTCTTTTTTCCCCTAATAAATAGTTTAAGCACAATTCAGTATAACAAAACTAAGCAATGTTTTCCTCAAAAGGTATTCTTGAATTGCTTGAATGGCGACATCAAATTGAATAAACAATGGGTGAAACTCATATAACAGTTTGGTTAGTAGTTACTGAAGTCATTATTGAGGTGAAATAAAATGGTTATACTTCCTAGCAAAGCAGATACGGTCATTTTGTCCCCTACAAAAAAATTTCCAAAAAGCAAAAGCACTTTTTTTAACTATGTCTGGACTGGCTATTTATTTAGACTAAAGTTTTTAGGCTTTAAACTTAAATAAAAAATATGTACCCAATCAATACAACATAATATTAGAGAGGGAAGGGCACGAATAACTGGAAAAGTCTAGAAAGTCTTTCTGTCAAAAAAGTAGCTTGAGCTTAGGCTTGAAAGAAGCCGAGGGTTCCAAGAGGTGGAGGCTATGGAGACCATTCCAGGCATGGGAGGAAGCCAGGGCAAAAAGTGTAAAAGAGGGAGAGAGAATCCTGTGCACTGGGAATTGCAGATTCCAGTTCATCTGGAAAGGAGAATAAGGGAAGGGGAGCAACATACAAAAGCTGGAAAAGTCAGGCTGGAGACAGATCGTAATGGTAATGGTAATGGTTATTGTCCTTCCTTCTCCAAGAGAACCAGAATGACACAACTATGGTGGAGTCAATGTACAATGTGTCTAACTGTGGCTGATCAGACCAATATGAGGTTGGAATGCTCCACCACAGGTAGGCTGAGTGGCATAGTGGTTACAGAGCCAGGCCTGGAGTCAGAAAGACTTTTCCTGAGTTCAAATCCAGCCTCAGACACTTACTAGCTATGTGACCTTAGGCAAATCGCTTAACTCTGCCTCAGTTTTCTTAATCTATAAAATGAGCTGGAGAAGGAAATGGTAAACCACTTCAGTATCTTTTATTTTTTCTTTTTGTGAGGCAATTGGGATTAAGTGACTTGCCCAGAGTCAGACAGCTAGGAAGTGTTATATGTCTGAGGCCACATTTGAACTCAGGTCCTCCGGACTCCAGGGCCGGTGCTCTATCCACTGCACCATCTAGCTGCCCTGCCACTCCAGTTTCTTTGCCAAGAAAACCCCAAAATGGGGTCATAGTCAGACGTGACTGAAAAATGACTCAACAGCCAGATTGTGAAGGGTATCAGATGCGGAAAGGAAAGGAATTTGTACTTAATCTAGCAGCAATGGGGAGCCGCAAAAGCTTCTAGCCTCAGTGGTCTGCCCAGATGGGTCTGTGTTTCTGTGTTTCTTTTTGCTAAGTTGTCATGTTGACAAGGATGACCTCATATAAGCTCTGAGGTTTGGGCCTATTTTCCATCCTGGGCTGGAGTCTGGGGGCCAGCAGCCAAGAGATTGTGGTTAATTTCCTGGCTGCCAGTGAGAGGTGGAGACGCACCTGCACAGCTGGGAAGAATCCTCTTCTTCAAGGGGCTAGGAGAGCTGAGCATGAGTCACTCATACAGGAGACATGTCAGGAGGCATTGGAGCTTCAGCTTAACACCTTAAAAAGCATTTTAAAAATTCTTGAGAATGCTAACTTATACTTTTTAAATACTTCAAGGGAGCGTGAGTGCATCAGTGTGGGGAATCTCTTCACTGACTCAGATCACGACTTCAGGAGGCAGTTTCAAGAGTTGTTGTAGATGAAAAGCCATCATGCAGCAGCCTGACCTGGAGATGAGCCTTCCGGAGCTTATGGAGACTGGCTAGACATACAGTCTGTTGCCCAGCCCATACTCAAAGCCTTGTCAGCTGGATAAGAGCTGCCAAAGCTTTTACTCCCTTGGCATAGCCTGTAGGATAAAGCACGGCCATTTCCATGCCTTGATGTAGCATCAGAGGAGAGCTCTCATAGAGGGTTATGATCATTAAAGGTAAATTAAAATTCTAAACTAAACAGGTCAAGGAAATTGAAGTTGAAAGTCCCTATCCTTCTGCCCCCAAAAAATCAATAGCTGTGCTTCTCCTACACACACACACACACACACACACACACACACACACACACACACACACACACAGCAGCTAAGGAGAAACACAGATGCATCAGGTGGCTGGCCACACCTGATGTGGGGTATCACCCTTCCTGTTCTGTATGTTTCAACCAGAATGTTGTTCTGAGGCCAGTGAAAACATATCCCTCAGTAACTTATTATGTCCAAACCACTTTCCCACCATGGGAAATGATCACACAAATCCATGGGAACCCATAACACAGAAGTGAGAAGGGGAAATCAATCAATCAGCAGTCCTCTATTAAGCACCTACTATGTGTCAGGCACTGTGCTAGGCACTAGGGATACTGAGGTAAAAAACAAAACAAGAATTACATTCTATTGGAGAAGAGAAGATGAACACATATAAGCATATGCTATGTATAGTTTATGTATAAACATATAAAGCATATACTTGTATATAACTATATGTGTATATATAAATAATGTATACATAAATATATGTGTGTATATAATTTTTTGGAATGGATCTTTCATTAGTGTAGGGTACTTTTGATGAGGAAACTCAGTCTACCATTACACATCAGCACCTTTTAAGCAATTTATGGTCTTGGAGAGTTGGCTGGGGCCCTGAGAGGTTAAATATCTTACTGGACAAGCCAGTATATATCAGAAGCCGGACTAAAAACCAAGTCTTGCTGACTTGGCAGCCAGGTGGCACAGTGGATAGGGTGGTGGGCCTGTAATCAAGAAGACTCATCTTCCAGACTTCAAATCCAACCTCAGACACTTACTAGCTGTGTGACCCTCAGCAAGTCACTTAACTCTGTTTGCCTCAGTTTCCTCATCTGTAAAGTGATCTGGAGAAGGAAATGGCAAACCACTTTGGTATCTTTCTGAGATGAAAAACAACTGAACAACAAAATTTCCTGATTACTCGGCCAGGTCTCTATCCACTGTGCCACGATGTCTTTCATCCAAAACATAGAGAAATAAATAATTTCAACTTCGATTTCCTTGACCTGTTTAATTTAAAATTTTAATTTACCTTTAATGATCATAACCCTCTAAGAGAGCTCTCCTCTGATGCCACATCAAGGCATGGAAATGGCCGTGCTTTATCCTACAGGCTATGCAAGGGAGTAAAAGCTTTGGCAGCTCTTATCCAGCCGACAAGGCTTTGAGTATGGGCTGGGCAACAGACTGCATGTCTAGCCAGTCTCCATAAGCTCCGGAAGGCTCACCTCCAGGTCAGGCATAGATAGAGCACTTTAAGGTTTGCAAAGTATTTTACATATATTATCTTAGTTGATGTTCACAATAGCCCTCTAAGATGTGCGTTATTATTATTCGCCTTTTAGAAATGAAGAAAGTTAGTCTGAGAGAAGTTAAGTGACACGTATGGGGTGACAGAGACAGTGTCTGAAGAGGCAGGATTCAAATTCAACACTTGCTGAGTCCCAAGTCCAGTATACTCACTACTCCACCCTTGTGCAGTAGTGCAATCAAGCTAAGTTTTTTAGGAAAGGCACTAGTAGGGGTAGCTAGGTGGCACAGTAGATAGAACACTGGCCTGGAGTCAGGAGGACCCAAGTTCAAATCCGGCCTCAGACACTTGACACTCACTAGCTATGTGATGTTGGTCAAGTCACTTAACCCCAACTGCCTCAAAAGAAACGCACTAATAATTGGGAAAGAGACAAAACAGGATGTTAATGCATTGGAAATGTTGAAAGAAAAGCCTAACTTGTCTTCAGCTGGCAAGTTCCAGCATGCCAATGGGAATGTCTGCCATGATCACATGGCTGCCCATAAATATCAGGCAATTCAACAATCATTTTTCTTTTTTCAATTTGATTTCATTTTTTTAAAATTGTCAAGCATTTATTTTTTTCTTCCCTCCCATGTCCCTCCCACCCCAAATTTAAAAAACAAAACAAACCCCTTCAACAAGTACTTCTTAAACTCTAAATTGCAAACACTGTGCTCAGCACTGGAAATCCAAAAGACAAAAACAAAACAATCCCAGCCCTTGATGAGCTCACAATCTAACGGAGGGGGAGAGGAACAATGCACCAACACTGTGAGCAAACCAGATTTATGCTGGATAAATCAGGAGTGATCACAGAAAGAAGTCGTTAGTATTGACGAGGACCAGGAAAGGGTCCTTGTGGAAGGTGAGATTTTAGCTGACACTTGCAGGAAGCTGGGAAAACAGGAGGCAGAGGAGGGCAGGGAGAGAATTCCAGGCATTGAGGACAGCCAATGAGAAGACAGAGTAGGGTGACAGAGTGATTGTACAAAGAACAGCAAGGAGGTAAGTGTTGCTAGAACACAGAAGGGAGTAAAGTATCAGACGATCAGAAAAGTAGGAGGAGGCTAGGTTATGATTCACTTTAAAAGCTAAACAAAGGATTTTATATTTGATCCTAGAGGTAATAGGGAGCCACTGGAATTTATTGAGCAGGGAAATGACATGATCAGACCTGAACTTTAGGGAAGATCAATTTTATCCTAAATGGAAGTTGGAATGGAGTTGGGGGTAGGGTGGGTGGTGTTGTTGGTAGAGACTAACAAGAAGCTATAGCCATAATCCAGGGGTGAGGGGATGAGGATCTGCACCAGGGCAGCAGCTGTGTCAGAGGAGAGAAAGAATTGTATTCAAGAAATGTTGCAAAGATAGAATTTGACAGAACTAGGCAATAAATTGGATGGGGGTGGGGATGAGGAGAGAAGGAGATGTCAAAGATGACTCCTAGGTCATGAGCTGGGGTGACTGGGAAGATGGGGGTACACCAAACAGAAACATGAAAGTTCAGAAGAGGGGAGGGCTTTGGGAGAAACATAACGAGTCTGGTTTTGGATTTGTTGAGTATGAGGTATCTATAGAACATCTAGTTTGAGATATCCAAGAGGCAAGTGGAGATATAAGATTGGAGGCCAGGAGAGAGGTTAGGGCTGGATAAATACATCTGAGAGTCACGTGCATAAAGATGCTAATTGAATCCATGGGAGATGATGAGCTCACCAAGAGAAATGATATAAAGGGAGAAGAGAAGAAGTCCTAAGACAAAGCCTTGGGAAGGTCACCTCTGCTTAGTGGAAGCCACCTGAGTGAAGAGACAATAAAACAGACTGAGAAGAACTAGTCAGGCCATTAGGAGAATGTCTAGGATAAACAGCATCGAAAAACCGAAGGAGAAGAGTGTCAAGAAAAGGAGTGCTGTCAGCATCAAGAGCTGCAGAAAAGTCAAGAAGAAAGAAAATCGAGAAAAGGCCATTAGATTGGATAAATAAGGGATCATTGGTAACTTTGAAAAGAACAGTTTTGGGTGAATGATAAGGTCAGAAGCTAAACTACAGAGTTAAGAAGAAAGTAAGAGGAAAGGAAAGGAAGAGGCATCAATTTTAGATACTTTTCTCAGAGTTCATGAGACACAGTAGCTGCCCTCAAAGTCATAGTAGATACTATTACAAGTGATACAAATTTTGATATTTCAAAGTTCCAGATTGTCATTGATGTGGCTCTTCCTTCCATTGATGAAGACAAGACTGCAGTGTCTCTAAGTTTCATTAACTGCCATAAAAAAAAAAGTCACTACCAAGGGCTAATACTCTGATGATAAGATAGCCTAGTTCTTGGAAAACAGACTTAAGTACTTCCCTGCAACCATGCTTTTCAACTTGGTAGGATGTGCCAAAGCTTGTGCCCTTTTGAGACAATCACCCCTCACCCTCACCAATGTGGGCATCACTGTAAAGAACTAGAAAACTTAGCCAGAAGCATTAAGTGCCACAGGACAGGTGCAAACAAAGTGTCCATTTGCCCATCTGCTCTATCACAGCTTTTCAAAGGTGTTGACTGGTACAGTAGTATACTACCAGAGAATAACTAGGCACACCTACAGATGGATTCTACACAAAAGGGCAGCCAATACACATTTTCCAACTTGATTTGTGTAAGTTTAGCTTTCATAAAAATTTTGTGTAAAGTGAAGTATCCCAGCACAGTTTAGAGGAAACAGGTAGGAGTTCCACATAGGCCTCTGCTCTTGCAAGGACAGTCATTTCTATACCTTTGACCAAATTCCGTTCACCAATAAGCCTATGAAGATGTTAATGATTAAGCGAGGATAGACCAGTGCTCTTATTGAAACTGACTAAACTGAATGAGGAGAGCAGGGCAGGATAGTTTGTAAATCTGAGCAAATTATCCACAGTCCTTTCCAGTGAATGGCCTGGGAAAGCAAAATTGTTATAGGTCAAATTGGGTTCCTGGGGCTCTCTTCTTGCCCCATTTGTTATCTTATACCTAGTTAATTATTCCATGAATTGTAGACCTCACTTCACAACCTCTACCTACATATGAAATACCATTCAAATCCATTCCAAAAATATTATCAATCTAATTATTACTAATTGTCTCTATAAATAGGTGTTGTATATTTATATTATATATTGCATGGCATAATGTTATTTTAATTAATTTAATCAATTAATGATATAATTATATAATTTTCTCTATAATATCCCATAATATATTAATTATATATAATTTGTTATTACTAAATTATATAACTTTGACAATTTTCTGGGACTCATCTTTAAAATAAAGAGATTGGACTAAATGATCCTTCCAGCTCTGGCAGTCTACGTTTTGTGGTGTAACTATAGATCAGTCCCCTAAAAGAAAAGTTCTGTGAAAGCAAAAAAACAAACAAACAAACAAACACATAGGTCATTTTTTAAAAAAGTGATTATAGGCTGCACTAAAGTTTAATATAAGCCAGAATTGGGGAAAAACATACAGCCTGTATTTGGGCCAATACATTTAATAGGAGGCACCCGTAGTCAATCCTTTTAAATGAATAGAATCCCTCCCCACTACCTGCCAATATGTTTATCTATTCAGATTTTCATAGATTGGATTTTCTTAAAGTGGGGCCCACTTGTATTTAGCATTTTTATCTCCCTAAGTCTACCAAAAAATTATGTTGTGTTATGGTTTGTCCTTCATTCTCAGAAAGGACCATGACATCAGGAAGATGATGCCATGATTTGCAAGTCAATTGGATTTAAGTGAGGGAGAGCTATGCAGTCACCAGCCTTACTTTCTCCTCCAGGGCCATGTGGGTCCACTGGTCAGATATAGATCAGGACAAGGGAAGATGGCCCAGGATGCAGTGGGACACCTTGGCCTTTTTAAGCTAAGGCCTTTCAGAGTTCTCGTTTTGACTGAGGCAATACCCATTCAATGATTAAGGCTGTTTAAGAAGGGAGACAAGGGATGGCCCCTTTAATCCAAAACAAAAAAAAATACTTACCAGGGAATTGTTGAAACCAAATACTTTTCCCCCAAAGAAAGCCACAGGGCCCTGAAGAGTCCAATTATTCATTACAGAGGAAGCTGCAGACAAAACATAGTACTTTGCAATTTTCTTTCCTCCAATTACTTTATACACATTCCTCCCTTCACATTTAATTTTCACTGAAGCCCAGCTTTCTTGTGTTCTCTCTCCCCACCAATCTGTGAAGTAGGAAAGGAGGCAGCATTCTCACCCTTATTCTACTAGAGCAGAGAAAAGGCTGTTCTCAGGTCACACAAAGAGTCTGTGGTGTTGTTGACAAGAGATTCCCAATCATGAGATAATAGAGCTGGATGGGACTTTAAACGTCATCTCATCCAATACTCTCTTTTTACAGATTAGGAAACCGAGGCCCTGATTTGCCCATGCCTTCAATGCTCTCTCTTCCCACTTCTGCCTCACGGATTCCCTGTTTTCCTTTAAGGCTCACTTCAGGTTCCACCCAGCAGCATCAGGATTTGAACCCACATTCTCTAGCTCCAAATCCAGATACTCCGACTCTCGCTGCTCATCATAAAGGCTTACCACCCCCTTCCCCAAAGCATACTTTGAATGGGAACTTATTCTCTGAAGGAGTCATCTTCTGGCTGATTGAAGATTTCTCAGTTTCTTCTATTCTTTAGACTATGATTATTGCATTATAACTTGGTTTGTTAACTCCTTGAGGCCAGAAGTCATATATTCAGGTTACAGGTTAAGGAGACTAAAGTGTTAATCATTATTGATTGTGAAAGTCTGAAAAGTCACCCCACAGCAGAGAGAAAGAGGAAGAGGGAAGAGGAAGAGGAAACCAAGGAACCTAAAGGAATGGTGCTTTGCAATCCTAGATTGCAATCCTAGATTGGCCTGGCCCAGTCTGACCTTCCCCTGGCCTCTGATGAGCAAGGACTTTCATCTCTCTGTTGCATCAGACATCTGTCCTTCCATTATACCCCCTGGAAAGTGGTAAGTCAAGTTAAGTAATAGCCTACGAGGCAACTACCCAGGAACACAGAGGCTGAGCTTAACCCCCTCAGTGACCCAATGGCTCTCCTCCCGAGGCAACCCTTGAACCCCAAAGAGCAGCAATCAGACTGTGCCCCACAGTCCTCCACGCAGCAAGTGTACCAGAAGTCCATCCATTATTCCCTCTCGCCTCTATCTGGATTGGGAAGGGCATGCTTTGAGTTTTTTTGGTTACCTCACGCCAGGTGGATGGCAGAATCACAGAATGTTAGACATTGGAAGGGACTTTGACATCATTGACCCCTTTTCTTTTATTGATGAGGGCACCAGGGCTTAGAGAGGTTGTCAATCTGTCAGTGAGCATTTATTAAGTACCTACTATATGCCAAGCACTGTGCCAAGCTCTGAGAATGCAAAGAGAGCCAAAAGATAGTCCCTCACCCTCAACGAGTCCATGACATAATGGAGGAAACAATAGGCAAACACATATGTACAAATGAGCTCTATACAGGATAAATAGGAAATAATCGACAGAGGGAAAGTATTAAAAGTAAGAGGAATTGGGAAAGGCTTCCTGTAGAAGGCGGGATTTTAGCTGGGACTAGAAGGAAGCCAGGGAAGCCTGGAGGTGGAGATGAATAGGGAGAGTATTTCAGGGATGGGGGACAGCCAGAGGAAATGCCAGGAGCCAAGAGATGGAATGTCTTAAGTCACACACAGCTAGCTAGTAGCAGAGCAGGAACAGGGTGGAGATTACCTGACATCCAGTCACTGCTCTCTCCTCCAACTGCATTTGTAAGAGCTGAAAGGACTAAGTGCCAGACTTAGCTGGTCCATGGATAGGAGGCTCCAGTAGGAAGTTAGACCAACGAGTGTTCTTTCCTTCTGAATTACTGGAAGATGAACTGGATGACTGTGTGGGCTCAAGCAACTTTGCAATGTTTTGGTGTCAAATTGGTGGTGAATTCAAAAACCTTTATAGATTGGCTATTTGTCAAAGGCTTCGACAAATAATGGGTATAGATTGACAGAAGCAATCAGTCCCAAAGAAATTCATTAGGCTCCCACAGGGCAGGTTGGTGGGGAGGTAAAATCCATTTTGATTTTTTTTTTTGAGACCAGGTCCCCTTTTTCACCCAGACTAGAAGAACAGCAGCCCCTCACAGGCCCAATTCTACTCTTGGTTGACTCTGAGGCTGACTGTTTCCAACCTGAGCCAGTTCACTCTCACTTGGGCAGCTTGATTGTCCCCTCTTTCCCATTCCCCGGTATGCACCATGTTGGCATCAGATTTAGTGTGGATACTTGGTAGGCTCAGCTCACTGCAGCTCAGATCTCCAGAGCAGAAGGGATCCGCCAGGCTCAGCATCCCCTACAGCAGAGATTACAGGTATTTGCTACCATCCCCTGCAATGAAATCAATTCTGGAAGAGCTTCAGAAAACCTGAACTAAATCTGGACTACTTAGCCTCCTCATTAGTGCAAGATAAGATACAAAATACTAAATTGTCTACTTTGCAGGAGACCCAAAGTTCTGTAGTGGTTGGGAAACCTCTGAGCCAAGCAAAATAGCCCGAGTCTGCCCCCAATAAGAATGGATCCCACAGGTTTTACAGGTCCCACAGGGTTTAATAGGAACAGGGCTGGCCTGTCTAGCAAGGTGCAGGAAGTTATTCTTCCTGCCATTCAGCTCACAGGGCAGTGGTGTGCTGCAGAAGGAGCCCTAGATATAAAAATAGGACCTGGGTTCAAATATCGGCTCTGGCATTCACTTCTTGTGTGACTTGGGGACAGTTATTTCACCTCTCTGGGCCTCAGTTTCCTCATTTGTAAAATTAGAGGATTGAACAAGGTGATCTTGAAGGCCCTTCTAGCTCTAAATCTATGGTCCTAGGACTCATGAACTTTACACTGTCAGGTGAACACCACCCATCTGACCCCATCAAGGTCTCCTGGCCCTGTTTCTAAGTACTCATTTGTGGTAGTTCAATTCTTTCCAGGTGCCTGAGATAAGGTTGTTCAGTTTTTTCAATTGTGTTCATCACTTTGTGGCCCCATTTGAAGTTTTCTCAGCAAAGATACTGGAGTGGTTTGCCATTTCCTTCTCCAGCTCATTTTACAGATGAAGAAACTGAGGCAAAGAGGATTAAGTGATTTGCCAAGGGTCAGTAAGTGTCTGAAGCCAGATTTGAACTCAGGAAGAAGAGTCTTCCTGACTCCAGGCCCGACAATCTATCCACTGTGCCACCTAGCTGCCTAGATAAATCAAGTCTCAATGTAACACAATTGGACCCTTCTACTGGGTTCATGAACCCCTTGGGCTTCAATCTGGGTATAGTGATACCTCAGTTAGTGACCTGGACTTGAGTTGGTGAACTCCATAGAGAAGGAGCTAATGTAAGATGCATGAGAGGAAGGATCTGGAAAGCAACAGTAGCAGAAGAAGTTATAATGAGGCAGGAAAGAAGGAACTCCAGAAAAAGGTTGGTGTGGGAGGATCATAAAGAATCAATGCTGGTGTGTATCAAGTTGAGAATGCACAATTTTAAAAAAAGAATCAATCAATAAGTATTAGATGATAAGCTCCTTGAGGGCAGGGATTGTCTTTTGTCTCTTTTTGTATCCCTAGAGTTCAGCACTGTATCTGGCACACAGTAGGAGCTTAATAAATGTTTATCAAATTGAACTGAATATTAAGTACCTAAAAAAGAAAGCAAATTCACCCCTGCCCTTTAGGAGCTTACATTCTATTGGGAGTAGGGTAGAAACCACATGTACGTAAATAGACATATACAAGATATATAAGGAGTAGAAGAAAAGTAACCCTAGACAAGAAGGCACCAACAGCTGAAAAGACAAGAAAAGGCCTCCTGCAGAAAGTGGCATTGAAGCTGAGTCATAAAGGAAACCAGGGATTCTCAGAGGTAGAGGTTCACTCTAGGCTCAGGGCTGGCTTCGTTTTGTATATATAGTGGGGAGGAAGTAGAGTCATTAGGAAGAAAAAATCATATTCTATATACATTTATAATACTATACAATAAAACATTATATATTAAAATACACATGTATGTTTTATATGTAGTTTATATATATTTTAAATATATCATATATTACTTACAATACATAGTTGGCTTTTGTTTTGTTTTGTTTTGTTTTTTTGGCTAGGCAATGGGGTTAAGTGACTTGCCCAGGGTCACACAGCTAGTAAGTGTTATGTGTCTGAGGCCGGATTTGAACTTGGGTCTTCCTGAATCCAGGGCCAGTGCTCTGTCCATTACACCACCTAGCTGCCCCCACATACTAAATAAATATATGTTATATATTTATTATGTATTTCAATATATTATGTTTTATTATAATATTGTATATGTAAACAGTATATAACTTTCTCTTCCCAATAACTCTACCTCTTCTCCAATACAACCCCTGTAACCAAGAGAAACAGACACATTAACCTTGCCTACCAACACACAAAGCATTCCACATCCAAAGTTCACCACATCTCTATCAATAATAGGAAAATATAAGCCATCACTTGTCTGGATGGGTCACTAGTTTAATCTGAATTTTGCTACCTCTTAGTATCTTTTTCTTTTATGTTATTATGATTATTGTGCAGGTTATTCTCCTTATACTATCATTTTAGCATTCGAATCACAGAATCTTGGAGTCGGAAGGTACCTAGAGAATTATGTAATCCAGCCCCTAAGCCTCTCATTTAATTGACAGAAATGAGGCCCCAAGAGTGACTTGCCTAAAGTCATGTAACAGGAGAGCAGAAGCTAGGACCCAGATTTCCTGACTCTTAGTCCAAAGTTCTCTCCACATTTTGGGGGGGGGGAAGAAAAAGTGGGGCAGAGAGTATATAACTCTGATTTCCTGTGTAGTTCCACATGACTACAGAACAGTAGAGGGTGCACTAATGTAAGTGGTGAGCCTCATGCCACAGAAACAAGGGGAGAGTTCAGCTGAAAGGATATGGGACATCATCAGGTGTGGTTAAGGTTTTTTCTTGTTTGACAAAATTCCAAGAGTTTAACTCATGCTTGCTCTGACCTCTCCTATTCACAGGATGAGAACAAGGGCGATGGTGTAGGTGGAATGTCCACCAAACGTTGCAGAGTCCAGGTGCAAACCTGGCTTCATTCTAGTGGATACTTCCACCCTGGCACAGCAATACTGATCTTGTCAAAGACCCTTGGGCAATTTGGGAGTAGCCATGAGACTAGTATCTACCTTCTGCCCTTAGCAGTCATGTATGATGGTAGTACTGTCATAGCCCAGAGGACACGGATTTGAATCTCCCTTCTGACACTTACCTGTGTGACCTTCGGCAAGTGGCAACCCTTTCAGCCTCAGTTGCCTCATCTGTAAAATGAGGGGATTGGATTGTTGGCCTATCCCCTCACTTGGTAGGAGCAATGGGTAAAAGCTACAAAGAGAATTTAGGCTTAGTGTCAACAGACATTTCCTAACAATTTGAGCTGTCCCAAGGTAGAATGAGTTCCATCTCCTTGAAGAGCTTCAAGCAGAGACTGAACAGCCACTTTCTGGGTATGTTATGCTTGGGATTTCTGTTGGATGGCAGCTGAGGTCCCTTCTAGCTCTCAGATTCTGTGAATCTGTGAGAAGGGGGCCTCTAATGTCCCTCTAGGACCCTCTGTTAGTAACCTAGG